TGTGCCCACTTCAATATGCATCTGCGTCTTCTCTGGGAACATTCGTAGTTTAGCTGATTTTGATGGATGTAAAACCATCATAGTCAGATAACAGCACTTACGGGGAAACAGTGGGAAATTACTCTTTTCACTTAATGCGCATGGAGTATACTCACCGAACCATAAGAGCGGAATATAATACCGTTCAATATTTTGGCAAGTCGGGTGATTTAGAAAGAGGTTAACTATTTCTCGTTGTTTTGATAGCCAACATCTTTTTGTCTGAAACTGTCTTTTGTTTCTACGTAAAAGGGGCACATAAACGCGGTCGACTGGCGGTCTGGATTAATCCCGACCACAATGATGGAATTAACTATAGATAATTGTGGATGTGAACGGCCGAGTGACTGATGAATGGGAGCACTTCGGATTAAAGTCAAGGCTTGTCCGCGATCTGGAGTGAAATTCAACTTCAGAGTGAACTGCTAATACAACGAAGTATAATCAGGGGTACATGTGTTATTTAACCGCCTCTGTTTGTAGGCGAATTTCGATAGGCTTGTACTATCAAGCGATATGGTAAAGAAACACCAATTTTCCAAATCCATTGACTAGACTACAATTCTTCGACTGACAATAGGTACAGTTAAGCTGAATTCTCAGGAAGTACAAAAATGATACGATTGATAGATAAGGTAGGTAGATTAGTTCCGGACAATTTTGTTCCGTCTTTTTCTACTGTTCAGAATTGGTTGCTTTATATCATGAATAGATTTGAGCGCAAATATAGGACTGACTTTAGTTATCTGGACGTACCGAGTTGGCATAGATGATGCGCGACAAGAACCACAAAACCGGTGGTGTAGTTCTGAAAAATTTTGTCTAGTTGTTAACAGGATGCAGTATGTTGAGCATAATAAAACATTTTGGGACAAGAGTGCATAAATGCATTCAAACAGCCGAAAACGGTGGATAAATGTTTTCACCAACCTACTCAACCTGAGTTTTACTAAACATTGCATTCCGGACTGCTAAAGAGTGGCTTCTATCACACCAGTACCCAAAAAGGGATTCTCCAAATTTCGCCCGATTGCTTGCAGTTCTGCTGGTTTGAAAGTCATGAAAAAGATTTTACTACAAAAGATGCTGCCCCAGCTGAATGTACCTGATACCAATCAATTGGCCTACGGCAGTTCCAGATCAAACATTGATGCGTTGGCATTCCTCATTCATTATATCTCTTCCTCCTTGGACAGGAAATGTAAAGCTGTTCGGGTATGTTTCTTTGATTATAGTGATGCCTTTAATTGTGTTGATAGGTCCAAACTTCTTCACACTGATTCTGATTAATGCATTCAGCCGGAGCTTACCAGTCTGTTAAGTAATTATTTACCCATCGATCACAGTTTACCAAATATAAGGGTCGTAACTCTTCACTTTTACCCTCCACTCAAGGAGTTCTTCAAGGCGCCATTNGCTTTTGATGATTGTCTGATCATTAAGTATGCCAATGATGTGCATGGCATGATGTTTTCGAACTCCTCCGTGTACCCCAAAATTATGCAGAATATTTCACAGATCACCGACTGGTCTTCACAAGGCAATCTTAGAATGAATCCTTCCAAGTGTAGTGATGTTTTATTTTCTTTACTGAAGGGTGATCAATATA